GTCGCTCACCTTGGTCTATGTGCATATCAAACAAATGACACTCTCCAACATTGTAGATGAGAATAGACGTCATGCCAGAAATCTCTATGTTGTTGATCTTGTATTACTGATCTTTAAGTCTGATTGATTTCTCTTTATCTTCTTTAGTTTTTGCTCAAAACACAAAAAGGGGTAACAAAAATCCTCATTTAAGGGCAATCACTCCTTTAAACAGTTACAGTCTACTAACCATATCGGCAACATTTGACTGTTTAATTGATCTTGCCTTGCTGATCATTGTTGTGAATTAAATTATTTATTTATCTATTATAATTTTTAAAAGAGGGACGAAAGATACCAGAGGGACAGTCAAACTCACAGATCGAAAACAAACTGATAACGCCATGGCCAAAAATAAAAAGACAGACAGAAAAATAATATTACAGATGACACAACATAGAAAACTAATGACTTAGCAATACGAACCCCACCAAAAACTGGGGTTGATCTCATAACGGGATAAAAATGTTTCTCTCTAAATATAAATGTTTTCCATAATAAAAGGCACCAATGAAACAAATGGTAAAATTTGTCATTTATGGGCAATAACTCCTAAAAGAATTTGTCTAACAGTTTTGACGTGTACGGTAAATTGGTAGAGCTCATTAATCTGAACATTTTTGCTCCTTTCAGATTTTCTCTATTTATAACGGTTCAAAAAATAATAGAAAGTAAAATCACAAAAATACTGAACTCCGAGGAAAATTCAAAAAGGGAAGTCCCCATTCAAATGGCAAAATCAAAAGTTCAAACACATCAAACGAATGGATAACAACTGTCATATTTCTGACTTGGTACAGGCTTTTTCTTATGTAGAAAATGGTGGATTGAACCTGGTTTTATAGCTAGCTAAACCTCTCTCTTGTATGACAGTTGCATCAAATTCCATTATATAGACAACGATGCGTGAACAAAACAAACAGACACAATAGGTAAAAATGTCAAAAATAGGGTTACAGCAGTCAACATTGTGTTATCATCTTAATCACTATAAAAACAAACAAATGTAACGAAGAAGCACAAAAAGGCATTCATCAAATTTAACATCCTCATTAGGTTTATATTATACGATTTTATTTATCTATGTAAAATCCACCCATAAAGGATGGAAGGTTTTAAGTACTGGCGTAAAATCGCGCGTTTGAAATTCGCACAGGAAGACATAAAATAATTTTGTCGTTCAAAGTATGAAGAGATACATAAATACAGAGTCACGTAAAATGGATATCACAAAAAACAGACTTAACAGTAAATAAATAAAATAATTTTGTCGTTCAAAGTATGACGGGATACATAAGCACAGAGTCACGTCAAATGAATATCTAAAAAGAAAACAGACTTAACAGTAAAAGTAATATTAATAAAGACAAATAAAAGAATACTATAACACGTTATTAAGATGATAAACAACGTCAGTACGCAAAATCTATACTTGAAGACCATCGTGTATTATTTCTGAAGTTGATACGGAATATTTATCAACAAGTTCTTGGCACCTTCCGATGAACTTTTTTTAGAAAAAGGACAAGACGTTGTTTGACATACCCCTGGTTCATCAACTTTCTGCTCAGACACTGGTGACGTTTTACAAAGTTTGAGTAGGTGCTGCAAGCTCTTGAATACCGAATAAGTTGGGAAATGTATATCCCATATGCAGGTGAAGTTGGTATATTGCTACTAAGGTGGGGGAAATTGATAATTTCAAAATTAAAATCGTCTCGTTTGTCATAGATTCTGGTACTGAGATGACTGTGTATGTCAAATTCGAGGTATAAGTCTAAAAATGAGGCGGAGGAAGCCGTGTCTGTTGTTTCTTTAATTTCTAGTACTAGTGGATATATTAATGGAACCCAATCAGAAAAGTTCGGATTGTTAATTGAAAGAACATCATCGATATATCTGAAAGTGTAATTAAATAACCTGGGTTCTTTGATCTTCTTGTTTTTGACAAGTGTCTGAAGGAACTCCGATTCATATGAAAATAAGAAGAGGTCGGCAAGGAGAGGCGCACAGTTCGTTTCCATAGGAATGCCGACAATTTTTTGAAAAGTCTACCTCCAAATTTAACAAATATGTTGTCAATAAGAAACTCCAGCATACTGATCACTTGTTCCTCTGTGTAGCATGTTTTACCCTTTTGTTCACTATTAACAAAATATGCCTTATGGTATCCCAAAGTAATAAATTTATAGCGCATGCTACCATTTTTATGATGAAAAGCATTGTGGATTATTTTTTTTAAACGTTTTTTTCAATTTCACATGGGGAATGGTGGTATACAAGGTTGAAAAATCAAAAGTTTTGATAGAACTAATTTCAGAAAAAGAACGAGATTTAAAATTATCCAGAAGCTCTTTAGAGTTTTAAAGAATTTACATATGGTTAATACCACTACGCGAGTAAACAGTTTCACGATATTTCCGAAGACCCTCTTTCACTGCGGACAGAATTTTAGTCAATCTAATGGACAATTCTTTAGTGGAACATGCAGATGAGCCGGCAATGTACCGTTGTTTGTACGGAATTTTGTGAAGTTTAGGTATCCAGTACAAACAAGGTAAGTCCTCCGATTTTTTGTTCAATGCAATGTTCATTGAAGCCATGTAGGACTTATGATTCGCCAAAATCTCATCCTTGTCAAATGATCTGTTTTTGTATGTGGGATTACCTGAGTGCTCATTTATTCCTAATTCTTTTACAAGACACTCGTAATAATACGATTTACATATAAAGACAATATTATTTGAAGCTTTGTCCGCAGGAACAACAACATACTTATCTTGAAGAGATGATAGACATTTCACAGCCTCTTTGTCTCTGAAAACGGACTTTGGTCGATCATTCACACAGTTTTTCAACTTATGAATGCGACGTTTTATCAGAGACCTGATTGTTTTGACCCATTCTGAAAAAGTGTTCAGTTGAACTTCTTCTGGTTTATCCCATGCTCTGGCGTGGTCCTCAATGGAATCCATAACTATTTTGAAGTTATAGTTCCAGTTGATGTGTTGGGGTTCTCTAAACTTAGGACCATGAGAAATCACTTTTCGGAGATTTTCATGTTGAATTATGTTTAGATCCCCAGTAATAACATGGCCAGAGGGGCTGTAATTGTAAGGCGAGTGGGAACAGTCACATGTCAGAGGGTTTTTTAGGTATTGTTTTAAATCAAGGTCCTGCAATGCTTGTTTATAGTTAAATATTTTGGGTGCAATGGTTTTGGTGTAACTGAAGGATACAATAGTACAAAAGACGAAACTTGCATTTTACCCCTATGATCTATTTTTAGTCATGTCAGCCATGTTCATTGGTAGGCGAGGTCATCGGACATTTTTTTAAAACTATATACTCAAATGCTGATTGTGGCCAGGTTTGGTTAAATTTGTCCCAGTAGTTTCAGAGGAAAATATTTTAGTAAAAGATAACAAAAATTAACATAAAATTGTTCAAAATTTACTATAAAGAGCAATAACTCCTTAAGGGGCCAATTGACCATTTGAGTCATGTTGACCTTTTTGTAGATCTTACTTTGCTGAACATTATTGCTGTTTACAGTGTATCTCTATCTATAACAAAATTCAAGATAATAACCAAACACTGCAAAATTTCATTAAAATTACCAATTCAGGGGCAGCAACCCAACAACGGATTGTCTAATGCATCTGAAAATTTCAGGGCAGATAGATATTGACCTGGTAAACATTTTTATCCACTTAGATTTGTTCTTTATGCTTTAGTTTCAGAGATATAAGCCAAAAACTGCATTTTCCCCCCATGTTCTATTTTTAGCCATGACAACCATCTAGGTTGATTAGCAGGGTCCTAGGATACAATTTTAAACTAGCTACCCTAAGGATGATTTTGGTCAAGTTTGGTTTAATTTTGCCTCGTAGTTTCAGAGGAGGAGATTTTTGAAAAAGATTACAAAAATTTACAAAAAATTGTGAAAAGCTTACTTTAAAGGACAATACCTCTTTAAAGGGTCAATTGACAATTTTGGTAATTTGACTTTTTTGTAGATCTTACTTTGCTGAACAATTTTGCCGTTTACAGTTTATCTCTATCTTTCATAATATTCAAGATAATAACCAAAAACTGCAAAATTTCATTAAAATTACCATCTCAGGGGCAGCAACCTAACAACGGGTTGTCTGATGCGTCGATAAATTTCAGGGCAGATAGATCTTCACCTGATGAACATTTATATCCTAGTCAAATTTGATCTAAATGCTTTAGTTTCAGAGATATAAGCCAAAAACTGCATTTTACCCTCAATATTGTATTTTTAGCCATGACGGCCATGTTGGTTAATTGGCAGGATCATCGGTTACATTTTCTAAACTAAATACCATAAGGATGATTTAGGCCAAGTTTGGTTTTATTTGGCCCAGTAGTTTCAGAGAAGAAGATTTTTGGAAAAGTTAACGGACGACGACGGACGACGACGACGGACGACGGACGACGGAAGCCAAGTGATGAGAAAAGCTCACTTTGCCCTTTTGGGCCAGGTGAGCTAAAAATAATTCAGTTTGTAACTTTGTATAGAAAGCATTGTCCTGATGTGTTACACACAACGAGTGTGTTGGTTTTACAGTTGTAGTGTATTGCTCTGGGTTTTTGAAGTCCATCTTCTTCTGTCAAGAGAATTCTATATGTTTTCCCATCTCGTCCTAATACCATCAATTGATTATTATCCCTATACGATACAAAAATGTCTCCAAACTCGTCATGCGTTATACCAGTAGGAAAAGTTGATTTCGGACACTGAAATTTCCAATGAACTTCTCCATTCAACGTTGTCGAGTATACAGCATCTCTATCGTGTGTTGTATAATAAATAATTTCATTCAACACGGAACAATAACCGGAGACATCGCCTGTTGACAAAGTTGACAAGGTATTACCAGAAAGATCAAAGAACTGAATGGTCTTGTTTAAGAGGCTGACGACTAATTGTTCACCTGTACTAATAATACCGTAGCATTCGTCTTTCGTAGGTATAGTCCTTTGTACTTTTGATGAGTTTACGTCAACTATAATAACTTTCTTCTTGACAAATAATGTTGTAGCAACTGTGTCTTTATCTATTACTGCCACATCTAAACATTGGTCTTCAAGTTGTATGTTTTTAATATGCTCGCCTTCTTGATTCATGATCACAAGTATTTTTTTTAACGGTTTGCCATCAGCCAGCACAATTCTCCCGTCGTCGAACATATCGATTCCTGTTATATGAGTTTTGCTGGATGTTGCATCGGGTGATTTGAAAGAGTGGATATTTGTCAATTTAATGTTATCTACAGTGTTTGAAACTGGAACAAACATCTGTCCCTGTTTTTCCTTCTTGAGAAGAATTTTCTTTGCGGAAGAAAACTTCACTTCTAACCTCCCTAATTCTTTTACTTCCTTTTCGAACTGCATAAGTATTGGTGAAAATTCTATGTGAATGTCAACACTTTCTCGTAATTGGTTGCTTTGTAAAAACATCCAAGCCTTTTCTTCTTTTTCAATTTTTTTATTCCACTCATGTATACCCAGGAAAGCTTGGAAATCGGATGCGTGTTGTTTGATCTGTTTCAAATCGCTTACTGTTTGATTGACATTTTCCCGCATTTCTGATATTTTTTTAATAAAACCATCAATACTTTTGCGTTGTTCTTTCTCTTCATTGTCCAATTTATCCAAAAGTTCCATTTGGAGTTTGTCTAAGTGATGAAGGATTGCCTTTTTTACATTTTGCACTTCAGATATAATTCTATTTTTCTGAATCTCAATACTTGTTTTATTATCTTGTTTATCCTTTATCAGATTGCAGATTAGTTCACTTATGTCCTTCGCCCTATCCTCTAAATCTTCAAATGCAGCAGATGATTTCACACCTTCCATGACTTCTGTTATTGGCTCCAATGATTTACAGGTGTCATGTTTCTGAGACACACAGGACACACAGCATGGCTCGTTGTGAATTAAGCAGTAAAAGTCTAATTTCCTATTGTGAACTTTACACGTCTGTGTGATTTCAGCAACAGAACTAGGAAGTTTTTGGTAATCTATTATAGGTATTGGTTGATGGTTCTTTGTTAATTTCATTCGGCTATGTTGTTGTTCACAATCTTTACAAATGGCTTCTTCACATTCTGCACACCAAACAGAGGCAGGTTTTCTCGTATCATCTGTCATACAAATATCGCATATTGGTACGGATGTCGCCATTTTTTACTGAAAAAAAATCATTAGATTTATTTGAATGTCATATGTTTTAATTAAGATAACATTTGATGATACATTATTAAATGTTAAGTCCAGGCAAAGTAAACCATGCTGATGAAATTGCAAATGCATTTAGGTACGGCAATTGGTCCGAATGGTTTAAACGTTATTATTTTAGCAGAAACATCAGTCATGAAACAGTCATGAATATATTTTATGTAACCGAAATCACCAAATAAATAAGAAAATAACTTGTTATGAGTTTCTACTATTTATCGCTATTTTGGTAATTAAAAAATGTCTTAGTCTGTAAGTCGGGTAGCAAAACTGTATAGTGTTCACATTCAGCTTTATAACAGTTATGACTAGTAGATTACTGAACATTTTTATTTTTTTGTAAAACTAAATGTACCTAGGAGCACATCTCGCTCACCTCAAAGAAAATGGATGTTGACATCTATTTTCACCTATTTCAAGATCAAGTTAATTTCAGGATACACATAATTCATTTTTATTTAATTAGCTTTTTTTTTGTTGTTTCAAATAAAATCAAAACAATGTAGAGGTATATCAAATCCTCGTGAATTTATTCACACGACTTTGTTTTTCTAAAATAGGTAGATTCGGCAACAGGAAACAACACTTGTTTGTCTAATTTATATTGATATTATTAACACAAATTAATTCACCGAAACCATAGAAAATATGCAATAGTAAATACAAAATAAATCAACGATATACTAGACAATAAAAACCAAAAATTATACTGTGTATACTCCAAACCACCGAAAACAAGCTAAAATTGTACCACCGGTGGATTACAAATCATTAGATTTTAGAACAAGGATTAGAGCAGCAATATTCAAAACTGTTAATGATATATTTGAAAACAATTCTTTGATTGGAAGTTTTTTGTATTTCTTTTTCAAAGCCTAGGTACAAGCCACCTTAAGCTACTGCCTATCTATAATACTAAAATAACTAGGTTCAATTTGTTAGCCGGCATGACGTTCAAACAACGAATCAAAGAATTCAACTTTACAATTGGTCTTTGTTATGTAAGCTCTACAGTTAACTTAAATACATTTGGATGCCAGTTTTCTGTTTGTGATATTTGGCATGAAATGTTTTGACCTCATTCAAAATTTCGAGATTCTATCTTGAATAGTTTTTGAACACCAGTGATATTAGTGGTCTAAAAATGGTCATTTTCAGACGTTATGGGGTTGCGCTTCAAACTTTGCATTATTTTTATCTTTAAAATCTTTTCAACAGTAAGTGTAATGATCATTTCTCATGATATTAATTACAGATTATTAAATGACGATTAAAATGATTCCAACATTACAAAAATCTGAGCTAATTTAAAAATGTAACATGCAGAATTGTAAAATTGGTGCTTCGTTATACATTTTTAAATTTATTAAGTGTTGACCATTTATGGCCCTGAAAATAAAACTAATTGCAATATTATTCATTAAATATGTTTGTCAACATACTCGCATATAATAATACTAAAATAAAATACAGTTATATAAATGATATGATTCATACAGAATATTTTAGAAATTTTCAAAGTAGAAAAAACTATTTTTCAAAGAAGTGTAGTGTCCGTAACCAGCTTATTATTCTCCTAGAAAGAATAGCTACAGTAAACATTAAGCTATTTGTCTTTATAGATTTGACTCTTTACACTAACATAATAACAAAATTTAGCACCTTTTTATTAGAATTTAGTCACAATAAATGAAAATATGGTTACGGACACTACAAAAATTATGTAGTGTCCGTACCCATGGTATTATAAATATTTTTAACCATCAAAATAGGCTTAATTTCTAGGTTCTATGATGTTTACTTTGCTGCATCATCATTGTCTCCTGATTAAAAATTAAAAAAAAATATGCAAACAGATAACTGTTAAAAATATTTGAGCTGATAGTAATCCTTGACGTACTAGTTTGAAACCAGAAAATCTTATTGTAAAACCCCCATTTTGGTATCAGTCTGTCATAAACTCAAAAGATGAGTTCTTTTGTAATGTTAGGTTAAGAAAATTCATCTTCATGACTATGTTTATGGTTTTTATATCTTCGGATTTTTTTTGTAGTGTCCGTAACCGAGGAATTTTTTATTTTTGAGTCCAAAATATTAAATACCTTTTTGTTTTCAAAAATCTCTTGTTTTTTCTTCCTACAATTGATTTATACCATATATACAAGCATGTAGATTTGTTAAAGATCTTTACTTGACACTAGTATATGTCATTTTATAAAATATACTAAAAAGTTAATTTAATAAACTCAAGTACACTTGAAGGTAAAGTATGCTTTGTTTTTGGTTTATCTACAATTCTGGTAGTGTCTTATGATAGAAAAAAACATTTATTTCATGAAAATCTGTAGAAACGATTACTCTTTAATCCACAAAAAGTATGTAAATTTTAGAAAATTGTTGGAAAAAGTAGCCATTGTGTAGTGTCCGTAACCATTAATATTTCTTTTTTTCTGATTAGCAAATGTAATTCTATGGATTTTCTTTTCAGAAATATATTTTTTATCATTCCTTTAAGTGCATAGCACCAACTTGCTCAGAATATGTCTATGGTTTTACTTCAGATTTGAAATGATAAACTGTGTCCCATCCATGTTTACATGGCATGTATGTTTACATGTAAATAACTTTAATTACATATATTTATTTACAATCATGGGTCATTCTGTTGTTAACAAATGTAAACAATAAAAAGAAAATACAAAAAATTAATATGTTACCTGTGAAAGTTATTCATATTGAGTTAATAATAATTATAAAATCAATGTAGTGTCCTTAACTCAAATAACTTATAGAGTTTATTTTAGATACCATTTATGTACAGAATACATTTTCTGCTGTGATTTATATTCCAATGAATAGAAGGTCAACTCTTAATGATTTTGAAGGGCTATATGTATATAGTCTTTTATTTTAAGTATGTGCTGTTCTTACATTATCCTTTTTTTTACTCATTAAGGAAGGGGGTATAATTTTGCAGAATGCTAAAGTTCAACTGTATTCCTGTGATTTTTGTTTTGGTTGGTATTTTGTTGATATATTGCATTGGAATCAAAATTATGCAAAAAGACATGGGATAGTTCATTAAAGACATAGATTTCTAGGGGTTGATTTTACAAGTAGTGTCCGTAACCAGCATTTACCTTACCCCATTCAAAATAGAACATAAAACACTTCTCATTGTTTTTTTTCCACTAACCAAATGAGTTTTACAAATTTCAAGCATTACTCACAATATTTTTTTCTATTGTGTTGACCTTTTAAATTTGACCTCAAGTGCAACCTTACTGTTCCTTTTTTTGTGTTTTACCCGAATATAAGACAATGGTGTTGATTAAAAATTACACCATTCAAGGCCCTTTTGTTTTCCACATAATCAATATTACAAATAATCAATCAGTTCGCGGTCAAATCCGATACCAATACCAAAAGTATATGTCACATGTAGTTCCCGGTTGTATGTTTTTTTTTATGTATCTCGCTTTTTTTTTATAGGAGCACCAACTTGGGGAATGGTGTAAAGGAGGACATTTACTACACTGTATTGGTATAGATTTAATGTGTACATTTTCATACCCAGTTTCTCAGCCTGACCGTGACGGGTCTAACTACCAGAAAGTTAATCTCCCCAAAAAACAGTGAGTACAATGCAATAAAACATATGAACATACACTCGCCTGATTTGCCGATTCTAATAATATAGAAATTGAAAAATATAATAAAACAATTATATACAAAAAGGTATAAAGTTGTAGTAAGAAAAACCAGGACGGGTTCAAAAAGAAAGATTTTGAAGCAGAGAAAACTGTGCTCCTTAAAATCAGCATGACTTTATCAGGTGACATTACGAATACTAAAAATCAAGGCTTAAAATAACACGTTTGTACTTTAATTCAGTCACGGATATGCGATGTCGCGGGTGTGTTCTAGTATCGACAAAAAAATGATACGGTATGTTCATTTATTTGTCGAGGAAGGCAGAGTGCCCGGACAGAACCAACGACAGGCCAATTAAGATTTGAATCGAACACACCACGTGCAGGACTCAAAATCCCAACCTCAATGTTTACAGGCTAATGATACAGTAGATTTGTAACATCTTGTAAAAATGCTATCAATCAGCTTCTATAAAACAACCATATAAGACGAAGGAAAATCACATTCATAAATACATGACCTAATAAAAAAACAAGGTAAAATTATCACATTTCTTTTATGTAAAATAGACGTAAAATGTGTTTATATTCTTATTGCTTGTTGGAACGGACACTAATTTAGAGTTTCGGCAGCTTTTATTTAAATAATGGAACATATAATTATACGGTGCTATACTTATTAGCAAGTTAAACCTATTAACTAATAAGATTTATTAGGTCTGTTCTAACAAGAGTCCCCTATTAACTTTGTTTTTATGTTGCTATAATCATTACTACGATTGTATCATGTCTTAGGTCTGCTCTCACAAGGGTTAACGTTGTCCCCTAGAATTTTTGTGTCTTATATTTTTTATCTTGGAACTAGGGGGACCTTTATAAGCCACTTAAACAACTTATCCAGATCTAAGCGGTATAAAATATTTCTTTTTTCAGGAAACGAAAGTAAAAATTGATAATAACTTCTATTTAGGACAGTTAGATAGTCGTTAAATACTTACTTTAAAACTAAGTTTGTCAGCAAAAATATGTCAAAACAAAAACTTTAAGTCCTTTCTGCATGTTACATATCAGCTCGATGACAGTAGAGTAACCATTAAGTATTGTCACATGATAATTACTTTCAAAAACAATTTTGTAGTACACGTTACCACCCACGTTTCACAAAGGGAAAATACGGTTATTTCCCTTTGGCTGTTTGAGTCTTGATACACTTTGTTGTTTTTTAATTAATTGTCCCTTTTGATTAAAAAGAAAACTCCTGTATACTTTAAAAATCCCACATAATAATAACGACATAGATATCCAAAAGACATCTGCACCACTAAAATTGCTTCACTAGATATAAGTGATATATTGTCTTTCGTCAGAAAACGAAAGTACTAATCTAATCATAACATTCATGTCGGACATTTAGTAAAATACTTAAATAACTGCTCAATACTTACTTTAAGACTCAGTTTGTTTACCAAAATATTTTGAAACAGTTACTGCAAGTCGTTTGTGCAAGTTTTACACCAGTCTGTTGACAACAATATAACCAGGAAGTACTGTCACGTGATTTAACTTTTAAAAATACCAAAGTATGGTTATGTCCCTTTGGTTGAGCATTTTATATTGCGCAAAGTTTTTATTGTCTACCATGACGCTCAAGAATGACCAGTGAAATGAAGTTGAAATGTATTACGGATTATTACATATTACATTTGTTAATTTGGCATTTAAACAGGTGACATATATTATATCTGAAAACACATATGACCTAAGTATACACAAGATATGATTATGTAGACAAACAAACCATATTCTATATTCGATATGAGAAGTCAAAACAATAATAAAGGGTCTAAAATTGGGCTCCGATAATAGAGAACAATTAGAGGATACAGTATTAAGGGCAAAACAATAAAGAATGGTAAAATAGGTCGGAAATAAAGAATAGAGAAATCACTAATGCTTAAATATAACGAATAGAAGATATATAACCATACAAAGGATAGAGAAAAATAGCCCCAAAAAATTAAAGCATTCATAAATTAAGGACCCCCATCAAGCTAGACCCTTAAAATGAAAATTAATTAAGATAGGAAATTTACATGCGGAAGTCTTTTGCTTTATAAGTTTAAAATTTATTATTTGTGTTGTAGGTTTCCAAAGATTTTATTCATCAAGATAACTTAATGTTGCATTTTCTAATCAGGTCACTGCGAAAAGAAAAGATATTATCATCAACTTCAAAGTTGCAAAGTTTGTAGATTCTATACTTCACTCAAGCCCTGTATGTCTACCTCTTTCTAGTTCTTACTTCTGTGCACCAACTCTGAACATACTGAAAAGTCGCATCCCCTCTTCATTTGAAAATAAGACTTATTTTTCAATGCAGATCTCCTTAAAAATCGGTTTGGTCTTATCTCATTTGCACCCTGTTGTTTTTTTTTTTTTTTTTTTTTTATCTTTTAATCATCCTAAAATTGAGGCTTGAAACCGAATATGTTTGTTTAAATTTCTAGTAAATGAAATCATCTTAAAACTCTTTTTACATTTTGATGTGTTATAGCGTGTATGATAAAAAGATGTGTTTGATAATTTTTGAAAAATGATGTCTTAATCATAGTATTTTTTAAGTTTCAGCCCAGCAGGTACTTCAACGTTGAAACCACTATTGGTTTTTAAAAGGTTAGACAACATTTTCAACGTTATACTGTCAAAAATCATATCGACGTTGATTGTTGATTGTTTGATTTAATATAGGTTGAGACTTTACATTGAAACAACGTCACCCTTGCATTGAAATAACATTTGTTCATGTTGAAAATAGGCAATTTATAGCTTGCTGTTCGGTGTGAGCCAAGGCTCCGTGTGGAAGACCGTACTTTGACCTATAATGATTTACTTTTATAAATTTTGACTTGGATGGAGAGTTGTCTCATTGGCACTCATACCACATCTTCTTATATCTAATTCATTGCTTGTTGTTGGTTTATCTGTCATATTTGTTTGTCATTACAAATCAGGCGGTTAATTTTTCTCATTAGAATTTTTTTTTTTAAAAGTGTCCGGGTTTAATCACGGACAATACGGTGTGGTGTTTGCTTATTTTTGAAGGCCGTATAGTGACCTTTTTGTCAATTGGACTCTGATGGATAGTTGTCTCATTGGCAATCATACGAGATCTCATTATTTCTATAACACACAGTTACTACAAAAGAAATTGAACCCACATGACTTATTTAGTGCACTGTACAGGGAAAATGAGCAAATTTTGATCTTTTTAAAACATAATAACAAGTGTCAAGTTATGACAAAACTTCATATAGCCAAAAAGTGATTAAGTAAATGAATACACATAATCCCTTTTATATTCGTTTTTAATATTTTTGGTGAAAATGTGTTATAGTTTCCAAACTCCTTAACATCATTTCTGGTGCATATTGTACATTGTTGTAGGAATTTCAAAATATCCTTCTTTAATTCAGCTTCTGTTAATTCTGTGTTGGCTTCCATTAATCCCCTCCCCCAAAAAAACAACCCAAGTTGTATTTTGTAAACATAGGTTTACAATTATGTAGAACTTTAAAAGACAGGGAACAACATGCTATATCAAGCAAGCTTTTTTTCATTAATCTGATGGTTTCAGTAAACGCGAATTCGATTTTTTCCAATATTAGAAATAAAATAATCAAAGTATGAAGATGTGTTATCATGTCTGCTATACATAATGCATTCACCACAGATAATGATGATATATACATATTAGGGTTTTCCTGTAAATAAGTTTTACTGGACAGCACTATATTCGTAGTCTTTTTCACACATTTCCAATTTACATTTTCAGTTCTATTTGTTTATAGTGTAGTTATTTATCTATAGGTTTTTTATCATACGAAGAATTATAACTTCCTAATGCAAGCCATTTTTAGTTGCACAAAAACTTGTAACAATGAAGTTGAAACACTTAAAATTAACTTTCCCGTTTTAAATTCTTAAAAATGACATATTAAAAACATCTTGAAAAAAAATATAATAAGAAACAAAATCAAACACAGATCCCAGATGAAACGGCTTTCAATTCTCCGATTTGATATTTCTTTATTCTATGTCAGTTATAAATACAATAAAAAGAACATCATATTCCCTATCAAATAAAATAAAATATAGAAATGAACCTATTAATTACTACTTTGCACTCGAACCTATCAATTATTACTTTGCACTACGGACGCCAGCATGAGTTCGTTGACCCTTATGGAATATTCGTTTCGCAGATGATATCGGATATGTTCCTTATGTTATAACTACAATCCGTTCCCTTTTCACGAATGTGACCTTCCGAATTAGATTATTTACCGGGATTGTAATAACATGAGCAACACGACAGGTGCCTCATGTGGAGCAGGATCTGCTTACCCTTCTGGAACACCTGAGATCTCTCCCCCCCCCCCCCCCCGTTTTTGGTGGGGTTCGTGTTGCTTAGTCTTTAGTTTTCTATGTTGTGTCCTGTGTTCTATTATTTGTCTGTTTGTCTTTTTCTTTTTTAGCCATGGCGTTGTAAGTTTATTTTCGATCTATGAGTTTGAATGTCCCTCTGGTATCTTTCGCCCCTGTTATGTATATATAACATTGCCAACAATCTTTAGTGATCTATTGTAACAATGCAACCCTTGTCGAGCAGTAAGATGTAATGTACATGTAGCAATGCCACCTATCTCAGCACTAGGGTCTATTGTAACAATTCCACAAATTTGAGCAACAGCCTTGCTTTCTACCTGTTTCTAAGCCTTGTGCAAATAAAATTTTATTTTCTTGACAATGTATGGATATTCTATATGTACAATTGAGTTGCACAAATTGATAATCACCTTACCCTTTTCCAATCAAGTTAGTTTAAGCCATAAAACTGTTTGATATAAACAAAAATATAACAATAACAATACAATTAACAATGCCAACAATCGTAAGTGCATTTGTCTTACTTTTTTTACCTGATTAAATGTTTAGGGTAAGTTGCCGATCCCTTTTATGAAATGGTTGGTGGTAACAGAATATTGCTCTTAAATTTTCCAAATTAAAGAGTATGGTGTTGGTTTTCGTGCTTTAATTTACTTTAGGAAATATTCGTTTTCTTTATGTTCCCAAATACAACAGAATTACAACTGCATAAGGGCTATACTATCTGATAAATACAGACTAAACCTAGGAACGAGCTGCGGAAGAAATCATATTTTAATCAGTTCAAAAAGTTTATAATTTCTTAGTCTGGCATAAAATGCCAGTGGTTTGCCTTCAAAACCAATTGATCACATTCTGGTTCTTATTTTAATGTTTGTTTTAAAACAACTTGTCTTTAAGTAACATAGTGTTTGCTAATGGTTTGACATTTTCTTTTGTGCCATTTATCTCATAGCATGAGAAGTGCGTTCATCGATGTGTTTTTTTGTATGAATAATATGACCTTTTGCATTCTATGTGTAATTGTATGTGTGCATGTTTTGTTATTTAGATATTATGTGATTTTAGTTTTGTGAGATTTATTGACTACCCAAAGCTTTTCTTTGTCATTGTATTGTTTATTACAACACCAAATAAAGCTTTATGTGTTAAATGAATTTGACGTGTCATGTCTATGTTGTTTTCAATTGCAACAGTGAAAGTCGTTATTGTGTGTTGTAATTTTTCTCATCAGTGCATTGTCCTTTTGGCATTACAATTTTCTCTTAATGAAATTGCTATTTTGTGTGAAAATATGACGTCACGATGATAATGTCGACCATTTGTATTTTCAATTTGTAACCGAAATGGTCATGATGGTATTTTCCAATGCATTTTACTTGACAATCTACATTTATTATTATTTTTCAAACGAAGATTTCTCAGTAATTTTGAATGATATTCATAATATTATGTATAAAGTCATGAACAGGAAACCAGAATAGTCTTCCAACCCTGACGAAACGCAGATACATTGACTAGGACTTAAATTATATCATGTTTTAACCTAATCAGTATTTATTTAAATTGATGCATCAAATAGTAATAACATTGTGTGCAGATTGTAATTGAAACTGCGAATCTCAAAGCAATACAAATGCAGAATGTTTAAAAGGAATTTTAAGTCATATTTACAAAAAAGAAATTATTTATATATTATAAATAATGGTACTTCTTTTCATCTTTACATCTTATTCCATTTCTCTTTTTACTATACACGATTTATTAAACGGTTATCTGATCAAGTGGTATATAGGATAAGGAACACATGTATGATAAGACAGAACATCTTGCCGCTGAACAGAAAAAAAACAAGAACAGCCGTTATGCATATTTCTGAGAATTCTTGTAATGAGAACATACTGCAAAAAATACATAAAAGGAGATTATATAATGATTTTATTATTATACGAAATTCTACATAGTATGATTTTTTGGGGGGTCATATTCTGCTTTTCTATCATTCAGATCAAACAGATCTAACTGACCAACAAGAAAAATTATGTCACTTTGTGAAAAAAAGCATTGTCCAGATATATTACACACTAGGAGAATGTTAGTTTTGTGGTTGTAATGTATAGCTCTTGGTTTCTGCGATTTCTCTTCTTTTGTCTATAGAATGTCGTCCCATCTTTTTCTACTACCATTAATTGATTACTATCCCTACATGCTACGAAAATATTTCCGGACGCATCGTTGGTTATACCAGCAGGATAATCTAATTTTAGACAATCAAATTTCCAACAAACATCTCCTTTCAAATCAGTTGAGTAGACAGCATCGTTATTGTGTGTTGAATAATAAAGTTTATAATTCAACACAAAACAATGAACGGAGGTATCTGCTGTTGACAACTTTGACAAGGTATTACCAGATAGATCAAAGAACTGAATGGTCTTGCTGTATAGACTGACCACCAATTGTTCATCTGTACTAATAATACCGTAGCAGTAGTCTTTTGTAGATATAGTTCTTTGCACTTTCCTTGAGTTTATATCGACAATAATAACTTTCTTTTCGTAAACTAATGTTGTAGCGACTGTGTCTTTATCTATTACTGCAACTTCAAAGCATTGATCTTCAAGTTGTATTTTTTTTATAAGTTCGCCTTCTTGGCTCATGATTAGTAGTCTTTTGTTTAACTTTTGGTGGTCTGCTAACACGATTCTCTCATCGTCGGACATATCGATACCTGATATAATTTTATCGCTAGATTTTCCATCCGGTGAGAGAATATTTTTCAATTTAATGTCATCTACAGTGGAAGAAACTGGAACGAATATCTGCCCCTGTTTCTCCTTTCTTAGAAGAACTTTCTTTGAGGAAGAACACTTTACTTCTAACTTCCCTAATTCTTTGACATCTTTCTTAAACTTCAAAAGTATCGGAGACAACTCAAATTGTATATCAAACACGCTCATTATCTGGTCGGTTTGTACAGACACCCAATCTTTTTTCTTGTACTTCAATTTTTGTATTCCATTCATGTATACCAAGAAAAACTTGAAAGTCGGATGCGTGTTGTTTGACTCGTTTCAAATCGTTGACGATTTGATTGACATTTTTATGCATTTTTGAGATCTTTTCAATCAAACTATCAATTCTTTAACATTGCGTTTTCTCTTTGTTGTCCAATTTATCAAAAAAATCTGTTTCGAGTTTATCCAATGGAATATTTATGATCTTTCGGATATTCTGCACTTGTCAGGTGTTTTCTGGGATTACCTTTGTTTGTTGTAATTCATAACTCAAAACACGCTCCTGATGCACCATTTTTAAATGTAATTCTTTATGCTACTTTATATATACACATGACAGCGTCGAATGTTTGCAAATCGAGGAAGGCGTGCAAGAATAATGTGTATAAGTTTGGCAACGACAAAAAAGCTTTTTGTATTATAAAAGACTGAAATCATGGTTTGGTAAAACTTTGATTCAAACTCCCACAGGCAAAGTTCACTTTTGGATGATTTGGTTATTCTTTTACATCTCTTTTGGTCAGATAGATTTTCACATGCTTAGGTAGTTTTACATCCTTCTCTTTCTATTTTTGAGGTATGGGCGTTCTAATAAAGATACAATATTTCTGTATCTTCATTTTTGTTAGCTATTTACATTTGCTTTGAAATGGGCTATATCCATAGATTTGAATTTCAAAAAGAAAACTGTTTGCCTTTAAAGTATCAGATCACGGGAAAATAAATAGTGATGATAATTCTTTGTTTGTATTTCTTATGTAGCATAAGCTTTGTTACATTTCCTTCGTTCTTTGAGAAGCCGATCTTCTTCTTAAAGCTCTAACCAATTAGTAGTTACATGTACTATGGCCGCATAACAGACAAACTAAGGGACGTCGGGCGTTAATCTTGTCGCGCATCTTTGAATGCTATCTTGGGGAAACTTATTCAACGGATTGAACAGAGTGGATTTAACGTGTCAGGAGCGAACTTGAATATACAATGTTCAGAACGAATTTTCGGGTGTATTGCACATTGCTACTGTTAAATATCAGCTGTGACACAAAATATGAATCATTTTCTATGTGTACGTCGTAGGAAACGAGTTCAGAATAGATTCATGTTTGCATTGTGTCGAACATCTAGTATTTTACAATATCAATATAGGTGTTCTTCATTATAGAAACAACAGGTTTTTTTCAGCGGATACGTAGAATGTTTGAGATAAGTTGAAGTCAAACTTATCAACGTCATGACAAACCATATGACGTCGGTGTTAGTGCGGGTCAAAGTTCAACTGCCGGTTTGGCACGTTTCACAAAACAAAGTCATATGTGAATTATATCAAATTTTAGGAAGAGACAAGAAGAGGAAATGTCGAAGATATTGACTGTATATGATATCATTGGTAAAATCTCGATCCTAAAAACTTTCGTGACAAGAACTGTCAACAATCATATATCAATAACAAAAAGTGGGACATAACAATGGCTACCGTAATAATCTCGATTTGTTATAGTTTATTATACCCCCGCTTTCACTGTTTTACCTCTGTCTGTCCGTCCGTCCATCCGTCAGTTCTTCAGTCCGTCAGTCCGTCTGTCCATCCCATGAATATTTGTGTCACATCTTTCCCAGGAACAGCATGACAAGGATTTCTGAAATTTGGTTTCAGGGTTTATATAAGTCAGCTATATCGTGTAATGCGTTTTTAGATTCATCACTCAACAACTTCCTGTTTACCGAACACTTGTATCATTTTACACATGATAGCCAAGGTGAAAATTTTCGTCACACTTTCTCAGGAACTACAATACAAGGATTTCTGAAATTTGTTTCAGGGTTTATATAAGTCAGCTTATACCGTGCGATGCGTTTTCAGATTCATCACTCAACAACTTCCTGTTTACCGAACACTTACATATTTTTTTCACTATTAAAATTACCCACTTGCGGCGGGGGTATCATCAGTGAGCAGTAGCTCGCAGTTTCACTTGTTGTTGAAGGTTTACAAAACTTTTATAAATATGTTACAGTACTAGTTTCAATTGTGTTTACAATTTTTAATTCAAAGCCTCAAACCATATTTGAAGCAGAAAATTGCCATTTTATAAAAAAAATCATTATCATATTAGATTCAAAATGCGATTTAAGTTTGTATTTCTAAACTTACATTATATCTTTTTTCAAGTTATACTATTTATGTGCTGTGTATGTACGCACTTGAACTTGGTGTAAGTTTTTTTTTCATACCGGTTTCACCAGTACGCAAAACAAGAAGATACACCCATAACACAAACAGCTGAAACAAGAACAAAAACAAAATATCAAAAATCTAACAAATTTAATCAACACAAACATGAACACTTAAATATTTCCATTAAAGTGCAAACTTCTATAAAAGTGTAAACTGTTATTGAGTAATTAATTGCTGAACACTTGATTTCCCTTAATATCTTGTACAAGTGACAGTATTTTCGTAGACATCATGTGAAATACCTTTTTAAATAACCAGTCATTGAAAAAGAAAATGTGTCTTTGAAAAGCTAAAGAATAAATCGCATCGAATACTCATAATTAAATTCAAACTTCTGATTTTAATATTTGTATTCACTTCATATAATACCCAAGTAAGACTTGACCTTTTAATTGTCTTATCCATCTTCTCATGAAAAAATAGTGACAGTCACATTGTGTCCTATCTTCTGTTGACACTGGACTAATCATATTTTATAAGTTTTTTGTCATGCTGCTATTTGTCTGAAATTTATATAATTATACATAGTATACAAAAGCTATATTCTCTGCATTATTAACAAAATATTCAGTTTGTAACTTTGTATAGGAAGCATTGTCCTAAAAAATTACACACAACGAGTGTGTTGGTTTTACAGTTGTAGTGTATTGCTCTAGGTTTTTGCAATCCATCTTCTTTTGTTAAGAGGACTCTTGATTCCTTCCCATCGTGCCCTACTACCACCATTTGATTACTGTTTCTACACGCTACGAAAATATTTCCAGAAGCATCGTTAGTTATATCGGTCGGATAAGCTGATTTCTGACAGTCGAATTTCCAACGAACTTCTCCATGTAATTCAGCTGAGTAGACAGCATCACTATTGCATGTGGTATAATAAAGTTTGTCATTCAAAAATGTACAATAAATGGACGTATCGGCTGTTGACAACGTTGACAAGGTATTGCCAGAAATATCAAAGAACTGAATGGTCTTGTTGTAGAAGCTGACGACTAATTGTTCACCTGTACTAATAATACCGTAGCATTCGTCTTTCGTACGTATAGTCCTTTGTACTTCTGATGAGTTAACATCAACAATAACAACTTTCTTCTTGACAAATAATGTTGTAGCAACTGTGTCTTCATCTATTACTGCCACATCAAAACATTGTTCTTCAAGTTGTATTTTTTTATATGCTCGCCTTCTTGATTCATGATAATAAGTCTTTTGTTTGACGATTGATCGGCAAGCACGATTCTCCCGTCGTCGAACATATCGAAACCTGTTATAAGCGTATTGCTGGATGTTCCATCTAGTGTGTAGAAAGAGCGGATATTTGTTAATTTAATGGTATCTACAGTGTTAGAAATAGGAACAAAAATCTGTCCCTGCTTCTCCTTCTTAAGAAGTATTTTTTTTTAGGACGAAGAATTCACTTCTATCTTCCCTAATTCTGTGACGTCTTTCTCGAACTTCAAAAGTATCGGTGAACATTTTATGTTAATATCAAAATGGTTCATTATCTGATCGGTTTGTAAGGACATCCAATCTTTTTCTTCTATCTCAATTTTTTTTTCCATTCGTGTATACCAATGAAAGCTTGGAAATTTGACGCGTGTCGCTTAGTTTTTTCCAAATCACCACTTATGTTTTCAACTTTTGTGCGCATTTCTGAGAGCTTTTTAATAAAACTATCAATATTTCCGTTCTGTTTTTTCTCCATGTTGTCCAATTTATCCAAAAGATCTTTTTCTAGTTTAATTAAATGATCATTTATTGCTGTTCGGATATTTTGCACTTCAGAAATGATTTTATCTTTCTGAACTCCAAAAGCTGCTCGATTATTTTGATTCTCAGTTATCAGATTGCCAATAAGTGCGCTGATGTCTTTTGCCCTATCTTCTAAATCTGCAAATGCAGCAGACGACTTTGCTCCTTCCACTACTTCCGATATAGCTTCAATTTTTGACAGGTACCATGTTCCTCTGAAATACAAGACACACAACATGGTTCGTTGTGAATTACACAATAGAAGTAGAATTTTAAATTGTGACGCATGCATTTCTGTTTGATTGCAGCAACAGAACTAGGCAGTTTCTGGTAATCTTTTATAGGTATTGTTTTATGGTACTTTGTTAAACCCATGCGGCCATGTTGTCTTTCGCATTCATTACATATGGCTTCTTCACATTCTGAACACCAAACGGTGGCAGATTTTGTTATGTTATCTGTCATACAGATATCGCATATCGGTACGGACGGCGCCATATTAAACTGAAAAACAAGAGACACTTTAATTTACTTTTTCATAACTTTTGTTTTTAATGCGAAAAATTACATAATAAAAATTTCAGTTCAAGAAAATATAAGCTGCGTTTCCGAATCTTGATTTGAAAATAGGAACTGTCCGAATGATCCGAAACTGATTATTTATTTATTCACAAATAGTATTATTCGAAGAGAAGCGATTATCTATCATATCTATCACTAGAAATCCTAGCACAAATTTGCATTCCTTATAGATTGCAGACAACTTTGAACTAGCATTGTAAAAGTAAAACTAGAGGCCTGTTAAAGCCTGAATCGGTAAGCTGGCAAGAAACTGTAATGTTTATTTGTATTTCCAAACTTATGGGATAAATTGTTTTCATGGTCCTTGTCGCTTATTTTGTTCTGGTGTTCAGAGGGGAGTATGATGTATTTTTGTCATGTTGCTTCGGATAATCTCAACCAGTCAAATATTTACAATGGAATGATATATTTTGCTTTTGTTCTAAATTGTGGGAATGCTGAGAAAAATGAAAAAACGCCAGCCGTAAAATTCACCTTTCTATATAATTGTTGTTATTTTTAAAGGGTGAGAATAAGAATCTTAGATTCAAAATCTGACATTGTTTTTTACAGAAAGTTGCATGCATTTTACAAGCATTTATCGCTACATTTTTACCTTGTAAAATCCACTGCTTGATAACTTATATTATTCCAGCAATTTGTTATTCAAGTAATAAGATGTTACACCATGTAACTGCTACATATCCTTTTTTATTTCAAAGCTATACTTCAACCATTGAAATAGTACTAATTAAAGCTTACAAAATAGTTCTAGTGAGCTACATAGTTATAACTCATATGTAGAAGAACTTCATCATCTTTAAAGAAATAACTTCACTCGTTACCCTCTATATTCACTGAAAAAAATTCTGACTTTTGGTTCCTTAGTATCAGGCTAGCCAAAATCTAAAAAGGTATGTTTATGACGGTAGATACAGTTATAACTTTTTAAACACAAAACACACGTTGAACGATGGTGGCGAGAGAACTAGAGTTTTGATAAGTAGAACGTTTTATAAGTTATTTGAAGAGAATTGATTGATTGTTTGTTAATATAAAAAAAAAAGAGTATAAGAAAAATATCAAAGTTTTCCGTAATTTCAAAAAGGGGAAGTCTATAAAAACTCCCCAAATCAACCTTGCCCACCAACGAAACGAGTCAAAAATCAACTGTCATAACCCTGAGTTGGTACAGGTGTTTTCCGAAGAAAATAATGGAGTAAACCTTTTTGTGAAGCTAGCTGAACATCCCACTAGTAGGACAGTTTTTTACATTCCCGCTATATTGGAAATAGGATGAGCACCAAACTATCCTAATAGGAAATGTGACAATAATGTGGTTGCAGCAACTAAAATTGTGTCAACATACATCACAAAAGACTAAGGAATAAAAAATTAACTAGTTAACTTTACATTAACCTATGAAGATATATATGATCATAAAATGATAAACTAAGAACTATCTATGCCAGCAATCAAAACAAATTGTTTATAGATGGCACTGTATTGGTTTTAGATAAGTTGTAGTTTTATTACGTTTTTCGTGGTAAAGTTGAACGAATAGAACATGTAGAATATTCGATAAATAATTACAAACAAAATAAACTTTCAATCTTATCCCAGTTTTGATCAGTAAATGTACTTATAGTGAAATGTGTATACCCAGTGTATCATCAAAACATTAGCACATTATTGTGATGATATCCATAAAAATAAAGCATATACATAAAAGATAGAAAAAAATGACAATCCGGTGTGTATCAGGCAATACAGGTGGCCGAGAGAAAAATGATAAAAAACGTAAGTAAACAACTGAATCAGTCCAGACTAACACAATTACATTTTCCAAATCAAGGTTAAGAAGTAACATCTGTTTGTCTTGGAATGACGCGCGTTTTGTCTACATAAGACTCATCAGTGACGCTCAGATCAAAATAGTTATAAAGACAAACAAGTACAAAGTTGAAGAGCATTGAGAACCCAAAATTCCAAAAAGTTGTGCCAAACACGGCTAAGGTAATCTATTCCTGGGATAGGAAATTCCTTAGTTTTTCCGAAAAATTGAAAGTTTTGTAACAAGAAATTTATAAGTATCAATGCATCAGGCAATACAGGTGGCTGAGAGAAAAATGGTGAAATAAACCGTTGAAATCAAGATTAATTCCAGATTATCAATAAGAAATTTAATTTTTAAAAAACGCCAGGAACGAAGACAACTGAATCAGTCCAGACTAACACAATTACATTTTTCAAATCATGGTAAAGAAAAAACATCTGTTTACCTTAAAATGGCGAATGTTTTATGTATATAAAATAGCACCAAATATCTACGCGTCATTATTGTTTGGTGGACACTTAGCTGGCATTTCCACAGCTGTTATAATATTTATGGGATAGCACATTATATATTGCTATTCATATCAATATGATTTGATAGGTCTGATAGATTAAATTTGATGCTTTTAGCCAAGGCAAATGAAAAAATAAATCTACTTAAATTGGAATATGAGAAAGAGGGTTTCGTATTATTGAATACTATCCAATTCCTTTGAATTGTTCCTTTCGAATAAAAAGATAATTTATGAGATAGTACATTATATGTTGCTATTCATATCAATATAATTTGGTAGGTCGGTAGACTCTTTGTTTTATAGATTACTTCCTCCTGGCTCTAGGAAGATTAACTTTGATGCTTTTAGCCAAGGTGAATGAAAAAAAATAAATCTACTTAAGTTGGAATATAAGAAAGGGGGTTTCGTGTTATTGAATACTATCCAATTTCTTTGAGTTGTTCCTTTCGAATAAAAAGATAATTGCAGTAAATTAAAAAAAAAAACAGAAAACCCCGACACAAATAACTACAAGACAACCTTGCCACTTAGACTGCTTTTGTTAATTCAGAAATTATTGTAAGGTTTTTACTAATGCGCACAATGCGACTTGGTGATTATCGCTATAAAAAAAATTCGCTTTCTGAATCATCTGAAACATATATTTGAATGAAAATTATCCTAAAATCGTACTGATTAATTTTGCATTTCTGTCTATTCTTCAAGAATTACAACTTCCTACTTTGAGACTTTTTGTCACAAAAACCACCCACGTTTTTACAAACGACAAAATAAGATTATTTCCCTTTGATTTTTCAAATCTTGATAGGTCTGATGCCATTTAATTGTCCCTTTTGATAAAAAAGAAGAGCTCCTTTATACTTAAAAAAAAAAGAGAAACAGAATCATAAAAACACAAAGATTCAAAACACATCTGCAAACTAAAACTGCTTCACCAGATCTAAGTGGTATACTATCTTTCTTTAGAAAACGAAAGTACTAGTTTAATCATCACATTCATCTTGGACAATAAGTTTAGTTCTTTAATAACCGTTAAATACTTACTATAAGACTCAGGATATTGACAAAAATATAACATACCAAATATTGCGGAACCTCTGTGCAAGTTTAATCACTGTCTGTTGACAAGAATGTAACCAGGAAGTATTTTCACGTGATATAGCTATCATAGTAGAAAAAATGCGGTTATGTCCCTTTGACTGTTTGACTCTATAAACTGCATGAAACTATCTTATACATTTGGAAGTTTTGATTGTCCACCATGATGCCCAGGAATAAGCAGTGCAATTAATTTGAAATACATGTAGTTGATTATATTTTATATTGGTTAATTTGGCATAAACAAGTGAAATATATAGTGTGGGTGGCGCATATTCGCCGTGGACACATTTTCGCCGTTTTTGCAATTTTTTTCTGTAAATTTGTGTGCCTTTACCCAATACTTGCCTAAATAGATGCTAAACGCTGTTTGTAATGTTCGAACTGTTGATATTCTTCTTTACCCCAGTTCCAATGTTATTCGCACATATAAAGAAATACGCAGGTGTTTTTGAACGATTTTGGCAATTATGTAAGATTTATATGGCACGCATGCGCAGTCATAAAGTAAATATTTGTTAGCAAAATCGTATAAGAATGATCTCTCAAGCTAATTCATGTAATTGCAAACAATTGTTTTATAATATACAAGGATAATGAGGATGGTCATATCATACATTGCAGCGAAAATGTGCCCCCCATGGTACAAGAACAACTTGATATCCTCTTGAGTTTGCGTTCATTTTTAAAACATTTGAACAATGTTTTGAAGAGAATTCCTTTATTAAATATTTTTTTGTCATATAGTAAACTTTCTGAAACCTACATAAAACGTTTCAAATATTCGAATGTAGATCGGATGTAGGTGGAAATGAACGAATTTTGCGGCGAACACGCGTCACCCACACTAATCTGAAGACACAAATGACCTACGTTTATAAAAAATATGTAGACGGATAAACTAACAGAAACTTAATTTTATCATATACTGTGGATTCATTTATTTTCGTGGGTACCAATTTTCGTGGATTAAGGAAAACTTACATGTTCATGGATATTTAATTTCGTGGTTTTTGACAATGTTTGCATACAAGCCTATAGTAAATTTGCCATTCGTTGAACTTTTAATTTCGTGGTTAACATATAACAATGAAATCCACGAAAACTGGTATCCAACGAATAATAATGAATCCACAGTACTCTAAATGAGACGTTTACATAACAATAAAGGGTCTAAATGAGGTGTGTACACAATAGAGAATAGTGGGGTAAATACAGTATTAATAGCTAAAAAAAAAATTTAAAAATTGCCCCAAAAGCAATATTATATCGAATTCCCGAAGCTTTAATATAAGCGAATTATTATTTCACTATTACACTTTCATTCATGATTGAACAAAAAGAAATCATTTTTTAAATTTTATATATCTCGTAGCTAGTGCCCCTTTGAGAATTTGATGTGAAACAACGTGTTTGACAACATCTTGTTTTTTTAATTAAAAATTTTGTGTGTTGTGATGCATAATAACATTGTTAAATTCGTCTCACATAACTAATGGTGAGTCACAGTAATTTAGATATTCAAAACTTATCTACATTGATAAATAAGAAAATCTAACCATGCTTTGAGCATTTATATTCGATTATTGTATCCCGATCTATGGCTGCAAATAAATTGCTGAAACCTTGCTTTCCCTATAATATCTTGTACAAGTGGAAGTTTTTTCGAAGTCATCATGTGAAATACCTTTTTAGATAACAAGTCATCAAAACAGTAAAGGGGTCTTTGAATTTTAATAAAAATAACACAATGATATACATTATTTTTTAGGTGTTGATGCCTGCCTCTTTTCTCGATGCGTTGAAAACCTTAACCTAGCCTAGGCCTGTGTTCTGCTCTTTATCGGGTTTTGTCCCTTTGACACATTTCCCGTTTCCATTCACTATTCTATACTCTTGACCAATTTTATAAACTTTTTTTTTATTTTCGTTGTTTCATATAATTTCAAAGTAAACCTTAGATATTTTATTATCTTACTCATCTGTTTATGAACAAACAGTGCAAAAAAAGTAGTAAGGCACAATGTTACCTTTCTTCCATGAGTTTTTGTTAAACATATTTGACGCAATACTTATCATAATCTAAATCTGATAGATTAAGTTTGTTGTATGTTATCTTGGTGCTATTTGCCTTAACTTTCTGAAGATATATACAGCATGCAAACGTTTTTTTCCATTGGTATGAACAAAATCATTCAGTTTGTAACTTTGTATAGGAAGCATTGTCCAGACAAATTACACACAAGAAGAATGTTAGTTTTACGGTTGTAATGTATTGCTTGATGTTTTTGCAGCCCATCCTCTTTTGTTAAGACAATTTTAGATTTCTTACCATCTTTTCCTACTACCACTTATTGAATACTATCGTTGCAAACTACGAATATATTCCCAGACGCATCGTTGGTCATACCAGTCGGATAATCTGATTTCTTAAAGTCATATTTCAAAAAAACTTTTCCATTCAAATCAGTTGAGTAGACTGCATCACTCCTGGGTGTTGTATACTAAAGTTGGTCATTAAACGTGGAACAATAACCGGCGAAATCGGCTGTTGACAAAGTCGATAAGGCATTACCCGAAAGATCAAAGAACTAAATGGTCTTGTTGTGGAGACTGACGACTAATTGCTCACCTGTATAAGTTATACCTCCGCATTTGTCACTTGTAGGTAATTATTTTATTCCTTTGTACATTTGACGAGTGAACATGTATAATAACAATACTTTTCCTTTCTAATGTTGTAGCAAATGTGTCTTTATCTATCACTGCAACATCAATACATTTGTCCTCAAATTGTATGGTTTTGATATGCTCGACTCCTTGATTCACGATAGAAAGTTTTTTGTTTGACGATTGATCGGCCAGCACTATACTCCCGTCGTCGAACATATCAATACCTGTAATAAGCTAAGCATGTTTACTGGATTCTCCATTCGGTGTCTTGAAAGAGCAAATATTTATCAGTTTAATGTTATCTACAGTGTTAGAAATAGGAACGAAAATCTGTCCCTGTTTCTCCTTCTTAAGAAGAATTTTCTTTGAGGACGAGGACCTCCCTTATAACTTCCCTAATTCTTTGACATCTTTTTCAAACTTCATAAGTATCGGCGCAAATTCTTTGTGAATATCAAAAATGTTCATTATTTGGTCAGTTTTGAAAAACATCCACTCTTTTTATTCTATCTCAATTCTTTTGTTCCATTCATGTATACCAAGGAAAGCTTGGAAATTCGACGCGTGTTGCTTAGTTTTTTCAAAATCACCACATATGTTTTCAACTTTTTTGCGCATTTCTGAGAGCTTTTTAATAAAATGTTCGATATGTTCGTTCTGTTTTTTCTCAATCATGTCCAATGTATTCAAACGATCCATTTCGAGTTTAATCAAATGATTATTTATTACCGCTCTGACATTTTGCACTTCTGAAAGGATTTTTTTTTTCTGAACTCCAAAACTGGCTCGATTATTTTGTTTCTCCGTTATCAGATAACCAATTAGTACGCTGATGTCTTTTGTCCTATCTTCTAAATCTGCAAAGTCAGCAGACGACTTTACTCCTTCCATTACTTCCGATAGCGGCTTCAATTTTTGACAGGTGCAATGTTTCTCTAAATGCAAGACATACAGCATGGTTCGTTGTAAATTATACAATAAAAAACGAATTTTCAGCTGTGACAAGAGCATTTCTGTTTGATAGCAGCAACAGTAACCTTTTATTGGTATTGTGTTATGAATCTTTGTTGGTCCCATGAGTTCATGCTGTCTTTTAAAATCATTACAAATGGATTCTTTACATTCTGAACACCAAACGGAGGCAGATTTTGTTATGTTATCTTTCATACAAATACACATATGGATGACGCCAAATTAAACTAAAAACTAAAGAAACTTTAGTTCAATTTTTCATAATCTGTGTTTTAATTGTGAAGAAATATGTTATTAAAAGTTCATTCAAGATTACCATCTTATTTGAAAAAAATTGTTTTCATGATCCAAATCGTTTATTTTCAAATAAACATGACGAGCAGTGGATTAACACACCAATTGCACACGTCTTATGGAGAAATGAAGTTAGTTAACCCTAAAAAAGAACGATGCCCCGGAATAAAGCTTCGTATCTTCTTAAGGCAAGTAAACAACAAGTATCATCAAACCTGGGCGTTGTCTCTCGCACGGCAGGGAGAAATATGGTGATCAAAAGGGAGTACGATGTGTTTTTTAATGACACTTCGGATAGTCTCAACCAATAAAATATTTATCTGCCTACCAATACAAATCAACTTTTTTACTCATAAATGGATTTTTTTTTTTTTTACAGTTAACATTTTGATACAGTCGAATAATATTTTTTCTATTTTCAGTCAACATTCAGATACAGTCTAAGAATAAAGTTTTTCAGTCATCAATACCTTTGACAAACATTCATGAATATTATAAAATTAAGACCGAAGCTTTTTTGTGACCAAAAGACAGTATCCAGAGCAAAACTTGAAAACATTTATTTTCATTTTTCCGTATTCAACGGATAAAAGGACTTAGTTTTTTTTCAGTTAACAAATAGATACAATGTGGTTAAGTATGAAAATAAGGAGATGTGGTATGATTGACAATGAGACAACTATCCACTAAAGTTCAAATAAAGTGGACGTAAGCAACGGGGACACAATTTACAGCATCCACACACCACGGGCAACAAACTCTGCAGTCAATATAATAATAAGATGTGGTATGATTGTGGTATGTTTAGTCTTTATTCAGACTGTTTAGTAGTTGTTTTTTACATGTACAAAACGACAACCTACTGATTTATATCAAAAGCTACTGAACATTTTACAACAAAAGTATATCTGAAAAACAACTTAAACTTCTAACCTGAATTGATGTTTTTTGGTTCGAACTTTGCCGATCACAAACAAAATGACCGTTTAAGACTAAAATCTATTGACTAATGACGGTATATACAGGTGTAGTGTTTAGAACAGGAAGCATCTGTTGAACAATTCTTTATATGAAGTAATTAAGATATATATCTTTTCGGTAGAAACGCTTA